TTACTTCAATTCCCTTGTACTTGTGTGCTTGCGCCCCTTGGAGGCATCTTGTTCGTGTCCAAACTATAATTTTCGTATTCAATAAACACCCCTTTTTGGGACTTTGTTCCAAGAGGTTTGTCCCTTACACATCGTCCGATTCCCTTTTTAATTGTTAGCGAGCGAAAAACGCGCGAAACAGTTGTATATTTAATTTCTTTTGTTGGCTATACATTGGTGTTGCAGCGAGTAGGTTGAGCGAAGGTGGGTGATGCTGGGTGGAAGGTGTTGCAGCGAGCGGATTAATTTAGGGTTTGTTGTGGCTGTTTCAATATGTGGTTTGTTGGAGAGGCTGACAAGAGTGGCATTAGACTGGTTGCATGTATGGAGGAGTAGCTACGTGGTGAATCTCATATTGGCCTTCACTTTGTGATTGTCGCAGATTTTGTGTTCAATTTTAGGAGCGATTGGATGTAGGATTTTGGGCTCTGATACCAAATTTGATGTAGGATGAATTAGAATTTAGGATAAATTAGAATTCAAACCAAGAAGAAGATAAAACCAGAAGAAGACGACGAAGAGGAGAAGGAAGAAGCCGACAGTGAAGAAAAAAAACGTAGGGAAAAGGGAAAACGGGGCAACGACCAATCTTAATTTTTCATCAAATCATTAACTATCCCAACTTCTATGAAAAATCCAATAAATAGTAAAAACCTAATGAGTTTGGGCCAATTAACTACTACAAGCCCAATAATAATAAAAAACTTAATTAATAAAAATCAACAATAACATAAATCGTGATGTCCACATCACATTGGTTTACACCATGTGAGTTGGTAGATTTTGGTACATCTTGACACTGTCAAAATTTTGAAATGATAACATAATATTACTTCAAACCGCTCTAACTCCGTTTCGAAAATGATTTTCAAATTATTTAACATTATTCCACGAATATATTGAAAGGAACTAATTAACTTAAGGGGATTTTTCATAAATGTCACTAAATTTGAAAAATACATCAAAAGTTGTCACTTTTACTAATGGTGTTCAAAAATGTTACTGTTTTGGTTTTAAATGACCAAATTATCCTTAGTGATACCTTTTTGGGAGCATTTAATGTTTATTAATCCTTCATTTGAATGCCCATTAATGCTATGATGTGATGATTTAATTTGTGTATTATAAACATTGGATATATGTATATTATATTGAGTAATATGAATTTTTTTAATAAAAAGGAAAAAGGATTTTGAAAAAGTGAGCATAAATCGATTTCTTCTACCATTAACAAATCCTAATTTTTTTACCATCTTCTCCATTCCTTCATCAATAAGAAATTAGTATTGGATTTATCTTTCATTTTAAGAGTTTAGCATGTTAGAAATTGTTTATATTTTTATCTTATGACTTACTATTTTTGAAGTGTTAAATACAACATTGTCATATTTATTTAAATTTTTCAAAAATATTATTCATTGATTTGTTTAGTTTGTCAAATCTTTTGGAATAAAGATATCAATATCCTCTACAAAATGTTGTGAAGGATTTCATATTTAATAAAGCATTGTGTAATTTGATTTGGGGTTGTTATGTTGTAGTTGAAAAGTCACCATTAATGTTTTGACGAGTTTCTTCCAATCAAACCTAATGAATATTTTGAAGGATTGCTCTTTAATGATTCACTGTGCAAATTATTTGGGAAGAAGATTTTGTCATTTGATAGTACAATATTGATTATTACATCTAATGTTACGAAGAATTTGTTCCAATCACACACACATTACATGCGACTCGTCAGTTCCGATAGTTCAACAGCCAAATTCGACATCTCGAAATGTCGGAATACATTTCAACTATCGATTTCACTTGTTTGCTATTGTATGGATTTAAATATTCAAATGTGTCACTTTCATGCTATTAAATGCTGACATATTAATTGTGCAGAATTCTTATCATTGCATCACAACTTTTCAGGTGTGAGTAATCATTTGAGATTCATCGTGTTGTATGAGAAAAAGTTTTTTCATATAGATGATGAAGAATGGAAGTGGAGAGGGGACAAAACCACTTCAATCATAGTTCCCTAAGCATCACCCTATTTAATGAAGCACTGTGTAAATTCTTTGTGAAAATTTGTCATTTGGTAGTTGAACATTGATGAACACTTAATGCTATGAAGAATGTATTCCGATCACACGTATTAAATGATTCCCATCAATCGCAAACCGTAAAAACTAACAGTTCAACTCTCAGACTAGACCATGAAGACCGACAGTTAAAATGTCGAACTCGACAGTTTGTAAATGTCGAGAAAGACAATTTAAATGTCAGTCTTACCAGTTTGCTTTGGTATTATCTATTCATAGTTGCCACTTGCATGCTGTTAAAATCCAATATATTAATCTGCCGAATGCTTGTCACCGGTATCTTAAATTTTTCAGATATGAACCCATGTACTCGAAATTTTAGTGGATTTAGTTGAAAAAAAAAATTGTTTGTTTGACCTCGATAATATCACAAAGCGGGATGAGTATTTCAGTATAAATGAAAAATAGACATGACATGCTATTTATAAGCAAAATGTTGGAGGGAAGCAACTTTGGTTATTTAGTATACAACCACCAATAACTTAAGTTATTGCTCGAGTAACATTTGGTGTGATGTTTTAAGGTCAAGGTGTAACTTTATCCCCTAAACATGCAGATTTTTATTGAAAATGTGAATCTTAAAGCATCTTAGTATCCTTCATAAAGTATGCATTTGTAGTTGTTGGTAATGAATGAGTATGAGCAAGCAAGTCGCATTTAAAGTTTTGAACTTACTTGTTGTGAATGAATATCTACATTTTGATGTGAGAATTACATATTAAACAATCTATTCCATTCATTATAGACAAGAAAATGTGTAATTTTATTCAATGATCAGTCACATATATGTGTAAATTCTGAACACGTATTCTTAGATTTACTTTGAAATGACTATAAATTCAATTAATTTCGTTTGTGTTTGTTTGGATAAAATTATACAAGTCACAAATTATAGTGTGAAAAAATGAATTATAAAGATATTAAATCTAAACAAAAGACAGATCATATCAATTGAAATTATATCAAATCAAGAGTTCACCAATGTAACTGAATTTAACTTTCGAGGAACCTTCTTTTTCTCTTATTATAAAATATCATTAAAAACAAACTTGAAAGCCACCATCTCCCCCACCTCCCAACCTTGACAAAGGTAAAGGTTGTTGACCATTTTTGTTGCAACAAAGGATATTTCCTTGTGGTTTCGTTTTAACCATGTGCACGTGCAAAATTTCAAGTACTAATTAGCAGGAAATAATTGATGAAGCTAAATAATGCTAGGTGGCCTTTGATTTTAAATCGTTATTAA